GTGGGCGACGTTCGTATCTTCTTTTTGTGGCTGTGGATGCCTTTCAGCACAGCCTTCTCGGCCTTCAAAGCTTTTGCTTTGGCTTCAGCTTTGGGAGGGGCAGGGGCTTCCTTCTTTGCTTTCGGCGCCATCTTGGTAAAAAGGCCCCCATTCAAATTTTTGAAGTCCTGATTCTTCCCATTCATTGATCAAACTTTAATATAAAGGCCCTTGAGAGTTTGGGGGTGCAGTTTTGACTGGGACTCATTCACTCATAGAATTAGAGTTTGTTTTTCATCAATTTCATCTCCTTGATAGTAGAAGATAATAGTTTCTAAGCGGGAATTCACAGAAGATTCCTGATTCTCCTTCTGGACCTTAAGATGGGGTTGGGGAAATTTAAAGGCCGGTGAGCTGATTATTTCTTTTCTCAAAATTTTCAGTGTCCTTGGAAGAAACTGGCTTAGCCTACTACACTTCTTTAGTTTACTGACATACTCTTTGGCAGCACCTGTTGTCCACACCCAGCTTTCTGTTTTGCCATTGAATGCCATAAATCACTAATCAGCACTCCAATGCCTTTAACTCTAATCATTTCAGAAAATAAATACTAGATGATCTAGAACTAGTATGGAGACCCCATCCTTATGGTCTGGTCGGGTTGTTATTTCATACCAAATCACCTTAAAATTGTGGCATAAGAAACACACACACCATTGTTTTATTATTTTTATTTTTTTATAAAAAAGTATCAAATTTATTTCATATTTCATTTTTAAATTAGAGCTGTTGGACAATGACTAACTTACAATGTATCATCAGAGGTGCAGTAAACATTAATAAGCTATTAAATGCTACAGTAAATAAAATTACTGGATCATGCATCTAGAAAAGTCATGTTTAATAGTCGAAAGTTCTGGTTATAGTTAATAATTGAAAAATCTTTTAGTCTAGACCTAACTATAGCACATCCTTATTTTAAAATAATTTATCCTCTTCGTGCAATTACTATTATACCCAACCAAATTTTTCCTACTTTTAGGTCTTTACCACTTAGGCAGTATGGCTTACATGTAAACTGTTTCAAAGCTCCTTAAACAAAAACAGGGTAGTAATCTTCACCTCAACCTGTCTGACCAGAAGTACAGGACGTCATTACCATGAAAGTTAAAACAAAGAATGGAACAGAAAACAAGTGTTATCTATATAATGAGCAACTTATCTGATAATACATTTTAACTTGGAATATTACTTGGACACTTTAACTGTGGAATATTTCAGTTTTAGCACAAGAAAAAAAAATGCTTGCAAGGCTTGGCAGTGTTTGGCATTTTTACTGCAAGTTTTAAATCAGTGTTACTCAACAACTCATCTTTAAGAAAGTGGCAGTGTTTATAAGTACAAAAATTATTACATCTAATAGATGGTACTATACATAGGAAAAACAAGACAGTTTTTTTAAAAATAGGTTTTAAAAAAATGGACTGTCTCATTGCTATTTGTTTCTCAATAAAATTATGGAAAAAAACCCCAGAATATAAAATAGGAAAAAAATAGAAACAAAAAAAAATTTAAAAATGCAGAATGTTTTGATGATAATCAGTTGTCTGAAAAGCTAAAATCAGAAATAAGATGTACTTGTTAATATTACTTTGCTCTGAAAAAGGTAGAATGATTCCAGGAAGTAATGATTTAAAAAGAAACATGTGATTAATATACTGTCTCTTTTAAGCCCAAGCAAACTTTCACTTCAAAGAGGGCAAATTTGTCTTTAACATTCTTAAAAGTACAGGACTCTTAAGCCATTATCGAATTAAAAAAGTCATTTGTTTCCACAGGGTATTTGTATTTTAGAACATAGGTTAAAAAATGGCAAATCAAAAAAAAAAAAAAAGGCAAATCACTAAGTGAGTGCCAAAGAATTTGTACTACAGGTTGAATATTCCTTTTCTGAAATGCCTGGAACCAGAAAGGTTTTAGATGTTTTCACATTTTGTTTTTATTTTTTATTTTATTTATTTATTTATTTAAAAAATAATTTTATTTTATTTATTTTTTTTCCAGTGGTTTTATTTTTTTTCAAAGTTTTATTGATAAACAGATAGCAATGAGACAGTTTCAAATCAAATCGGAAGTACAGTTTCAACAAATAATATACTGCATATATTCTTCTTAGTGGTTAATTGCTGTACAAGAAGCGGACTTGTGATCCTATTTACAAACACCATTAGAACAAATCATTCTATTCATTAAGAGAATGCAACTATATATCTATCCCAACCTCTTTGAATACACAGATACAAAATGGACATTCATAGGTATCCCCCATTTTTTCTAAGTTCTGTTATTGAATATTATAGGTGTGTAAACTCAGCAAAATATTCTAAAAGAATCCACTAGCCCATAATAGCATTGGGTCTTCCGTTTAACTGGCAATGTCAGAAATTATTGTGTTTTCACATTTTGGAGTATTTGCATATACATAAGACATCCTAAAGCAATCATGTTTCCTATAGCCTGGAAAAATGCTTTTAGTGCCTTTGTATTTTGCTCAAGACCCGTCAGAGGTCAGCTGTGGAGTTGTCCACTCGTGACACCACATCCGTGGGCACAAAGTTTGGGCTTCCAGAGTATTCTGGGTTCAGCATCAGTGGTGCTCCACCAGTATAATCATTACAAATGTATACTAACTGCCAGTGGTCACCACCAAATGTCTATGCCCAGGCCTAAAAGTTACTACAGTATCGAGGTCAGATTCCAGAATGATTCTTCCACATGGACAGTAATAACCTCCATAAAGTCCAAAGGAACCTTATGGGGTCCTTCCAAAGCTGTGTAATTTCCCAAATGACTTTTTTTTTTTTTTTTTTTTTGCTTGCAGAGCCTGTTCATCCCTTCACTCTCTTTTCAGTCGTTTAGCTTTTGCAATATTTTCTTGACGTTTTTGTTTCTTCTTTTGTTCCTTCTCCCGGGCTTCAATCATCTTGGCCAATTTCTAGGACAAGACCGCACTTGCTAGGAACAGTGGAGTAAGGGCCAAAATAACGGTCGTGAGGGAGCCATACGGGTCCTTTGCAGCCCATTCCACTGCATATCCCGCCCAAGCCTTGACATCAAACATCTCTCTAGCGGTCCTAGGAAAACTTATGCTTGAGCAGTGATCTCTAACTGTCCCCGGAGCCAGTCAACTTCAGATGAGCCCTGGCTGGCAGTTGTCTTCTTTGGTTTGAAGGCATGCTCTTCAGAAGTTTACATTCCCTTCTGCCCCCCGACAGCGCGGCGGCGCAGGACCCTCGCGCGCCCCTGGTCCCCCGTCCTGGGGGCTGCACAGTGACGGCCGCGGGGGCCTCCCGGGACAGAGCCCCGCGACATAGCTCCTCCGACCCCCGCTCCGCACTCATCCACCATTGTTTTAATGAAGGATTTTATGAGCCAGAGATTCTGACAGAGGAGCTGGTACGACTTGTCTGTGCTCTGGGTTCATGGTCTCAGCTGGGAAATCTGCTTCTTGGGCATTTGAAATGGTAGGGGCTGGGGCCCTCTGGAGGCTCCTTCCAAGGAGCCTCAGGCAGCTAGCACCGTAGAGTGGGTGCCGCAAACGGACGATACTTACTCCTTACAGTTCTGCAAGTTGGCAAGTCCAATGTTAAGACGCCAGAAGATTCTGTTCCTGGGGAGGGCCAGCTTTCTTCCTAGCTTGCATCTGCTTTGTAGTCACCTGACTCTTTTGCTCCTTTGACCAAGCAGGGGAGGGAAGGAGAGGGATGGAGGGGCGGTGAACGAGCTGGAAGAGAGCAGAAGCAGGGAGAGACAGAAACCGGGAGGGGAGGAAGGAGGGAGGGACAGAAGAGAACAGGGAGAAGAGAGGGAAGGCAGTGACCTGACTTCTTTAAGACCACAAATTCCATTATGGGGACAC